GAACCTCGTACCAATCGCTTCAAGTTGCGTAATACATGTGAGGGTTTTGAAGTAAGAAAAATCAACAGAGAAATTAAGGAAATAAATATAATTACATAATACAAGGCTTATTTCGAACAGTAAAGGCTTAACAGTGGCAAAGACAAACGTAGAACATACCTTTTTTGGGTATTTAGCTCTGGTTTGAACTTCTGAGTGGCTTGTGATTGGATTATACCCAAATATCTTCGTCTGACACCCTTTGATTGACTTATCTGAATCCTGTAAAGGATTTTGAATGAGTTGTCAAAAGGAGTTGAGTGGCGTGAGTTGGCCGTTCGCTACTCAGACTGCGTACTGTTCTCGTGCATGTTTCACAGGTGGGCGTGTGGTACAGCTGATGTACACAACACCACAGCATCACACACATTGATGTGAGCCAATGCGCCAACTTGTTTAGCACACGATGATAAAAAGTTTATTCCAAGAAGAAATAGTTCGAAGGTTGGTGGGGAATTATGACATTACTATAGACATCCTCAAAAGACGAATACCAAGATGCATAGATCAAGGCATTTGGATACAGCTGAAGCACTAGCTATTCAGAAGTTCAAACCAGCGTCTCACAGATAAGCTCCGTATTACGTAATCATATTTCTTTCCCTTATCTCTTCACTGATTCATCCTACTCTAAACCCTTAGCCATATCGAATGACTTCTTTCTGTTACTCCGTGATCGAAAACAGTTCTAGAATGTTCCTTTCTATGTGATATCCATATTAACGAATGTAAAGCTAGGCAAATGACTTCATAGGGAAGAAATCTTGATTTGGAATGGGATAAGATGACCTGCTTCTGAATGTCCTTCATTTACTTGTCAACCGAATAGACTACTCACCAGATGAAGTGAGTTGAAGTCGTAACAAGTAGTTGAATAAAGTACATTGATTGGTCGGGAGACAGTAACAATTTCTGAGTGCTGGCCGAATTATACCGATCACTTTTGCAATATGGCCACCAAAGTAGGAGGCTCAGCACTGTGGTGAATATTAATAGATGTTAGATGGTTGGAAGCAATCGGCAGGAATCCCCTGTTGACCCGGGTTTTGCCCTTGCTGGCCCTCATCAGCAAAGCATATCTGCAACCTCCACGGAACTGACATCCCGCCTGAGATTCAAATCCATATCACCCAGTTTTTATAATCAGCCGCGTTACCACCGAGCTATTCAGGCCATGATTGACCTCCAGTAGGACTGTGTTACACACATTGATTGGTAGCAGGATAGCAACTAATTTCGGGCTGTGTGGTCATGCGTGTCCACAGCAGTACATTGGTAACGTCGCTGACTAGAACACTGAGTGAATCTTTGATGGGAAGTCGTTTACGTAAAGGTTATGAACACGCTTTGTTGGCGATCCAAGGCTTTCTGTCGATTACCTCCAACCAACTAATCGATTGGGTCAGTAACTACATGACTGCAACTCCTAGTCACTACACCTAGATGCATACGTTAGCTAACCAACCAATCAATCAACTTTTCTCATCCTATCACTCTATTTATGTGTGTGTTTAGTTCAATCTAACTGGAATTAGACAGAGATTTCGCGAGTGGATGAATGATAAGGCACGAATCGTTATTTAGCTACCCGTCATTTATATGACAGCCTAAGAGAACATTTAATGAGTAGACGGAAACCAAGACATGGTCAAAAAGAACATTGCGCCTGTTTGTATTAGATGCTAATGTGAACAAGGAGCAAGTCGTCTCGACTAAGGTTAGTCTCTCTCTCTCCCTTATCTTGGATTGTCATCAACTGGGGAACCATTGAAGGCACTGAAGCACTGAGCAGCTGTTTCGTCTTAGTATGGGACTCCTCAGCAGTAGACATCCACGACTATGGGTATCGGTTGCGCTCTGAATGGCTAACACGTCCATCGTGAAACCCACAAGCCTTGAGTTCGACCCCCAGTAAGGTCATGGGTGAGCACAGCTAAGAAGCCCCGTTCTAGGATGAAACAGCTTCTCTTCAGTGCTTCTAGGTCTTTAATAACTCTCTAACTGGTTTACAGAAATAATAGACTGTCACAGGGTTTGGTTTTTTGTTGTTGACAGACCATATATTATATTATATCAAATATATCACTCCATTTTTTGACTAATTACCATCTCATCAATAATTCATAAATGACAGGTCTGATAATTCATTTGTTTGTTTTGTCTGCCTATTCGACTAGTGAAAGATAAATCGCGTAATTTTTCTCTTGATTACACTCACCGAACGATATCAGTAAAAAGGTAGTGGGGGTGGAGATTGGGTTGTTGGTTTTATCAACGAACCGAAAAGATGATAAAATCCTAAACTGATGAGGTAGTTTGTGAATGATACATTTGTTGACGGTTTTTATAATCACAAAGGAATGACAACTTGGAAGTATTTCTACGTTAAAAATATTTTCCTTTGAAGGGGTAAGGTATTTAAAGGTATATTTGCATACACATGGCATAAAGTCATCGAAGATAACAGAGAGGCTATACATCCACGTCATTAATGCTGATTTTGCACCCTATCACCAACCATTGATTCCTGTGACCTTGAGAATAATTAGTGACTTTATGAGTTGGTATCACATCTTGGTTCGATCACCTAGAATTGAAAGTTGATCTCATAATAATAACAACTAGATAGGAAGTGTCCAAAGGATTAGATGATACCCAAAGAAGTTTTACAGAAAATATGATGACCGATATGAAGATCGTAAAAGGGGAAGGCTCTCAGTAATACAGAACAATAAAAGGTTAACTTCATTCATTTAGTACCTAAAGGATCGTACTGATCGGTCTCTGTTACCATATGGATAACTTACTATCCACCGAGAAGTTATTATGTTATAATCTAGTTGATTGGAACCGGGAGGAGGCGCTGTCTATCCAATTTGGCATTGGTCAACTTGATATACCTGTCTTCCACCTAGTAAAAGTATTTTCACTAAGAATTGAGCTAAGCACCTATTGCTTAAAGCAATAGACTGTTATCCAGCAGGTTTCTGAAATCAAACATCGATAATCAGGCAGAAGATCAATATTGATACCAGTATTCAGACCACTGTTTCGATCGTAATTATTAGTATATTGCATAGTTATGAGTGTGTAATCAGTCCATTGACTAGATGCATAGGTCATTTGAGAAAACAGGCGAATTTTAAACTTTGGATGAATCTTCTAAACCCCGTGTCTCATTTTCAACTTTTCTTCAATCAAGTAATATCACCAGCCATCTTACAATTAATGTGGCTCATTGCCTGAACATTCTCATGGTTATTGGAAGAATTTAGTTGATTTCAACTTAGATTGGGAGAAAATTAACGCATAACCTTGAGTTTGTATTATGTGATCGTTGCCACTTATTTGAAACGCATATCTACAAATATACCATCATAATTTATTTCGTAATACGAAATATGCTACTTATGAAAGTTTCAGTAGCTAGTTTCTAGACTAAAATAACGAAGGCTTCATTGCAACACTAGTCATCTTGTCTCATGACGAAAGTAATTCTTTGAAATCCACTACTTAGTTAGAAATAACTGCTAGTCTATATGCCATAACTCCTTCTCATTTTGACTATCTGAATGAGATAGCCGTGGTTTGGCAGACTAGTACTGATACTGTCTGATGACTGAATGTGAAATGAAAATTTGGGCCGCAGGGGGATTCACCTTGACTCCCCACACAGTATAAATCTTTCATTTGAAAAAATGTTCATTTATCAAATCTTTCACCTTTTTATTACCTCTTCCCATATGCCTTTCATAGCAAACCACCTTGCTGCATTATTATGCTTTCGTTAAATGTCAGTAAAGACCAGCCAATTTCATGTTGTCTAGCCAAGAGCGGTGTCTATCAGTTTGGCAGGTGACAACCAAGCTAGGTGACTAGGCCTTATGGTTCACTTTAATGAATGTTGTGTGGTTGGAAATCCATCTAGGTTTCGTGTTGTTGGTACTCGTCAGTAAGTTGTATGTGTAACATCCTGTAGGACTGGATTAAGTCACTGAAGAGTTAAAAATTTCGTGCTATCTGGTCCTAGATGATGACTTGGTTAACATTTATATCGAAATTAAAATCCACTGAGAAACTCTTTAGTGCATTCATGCAGTAGGCAGTGACCTACATACCTGTTGTAAAAGGGCTACTGATACTATAAAACTCTCCAAACGTCAGTCGATAGGAGTGATGTTCAAACCAATGTCCCAATGGTTACAAGAAAATTACCTTAATTACCGAATTTTTATTTTCCACTAATTCATATATTTTCTAGGAGGTAAAAATGCAACAGATGAATTTTTCATTTGACTCACTCTCAAAAAATAACCAAAACAGCGTTTATTCCACAACAGGGAAACATGATAAATCAAGCAGGTTAGTTTAATGATTATGTAACAGATGGGTACTTTAAAGTATGGAAAATATTACTGATGTAACTTTAATACATATTCAAGCTTTCATTTTGCTATTATTAACTTCTGAGAGATTATTGGGTCTAGACATTTGACTTTCGAGCAGTGGTCTATAGGTTTCAGCCGTACTCTATCCATCAACATAGTTCAAGCAGTCAGGCGGTATCATTATCATTCACAAAGTAGGTGTAATTCACCATCCAACACATAAGTTTGGAAGAGAATAATTTTGTTACATTTCACATATTATGATAAATTGGTTGGTTGTGGCTAGCAGAAGAATCCAGGAGGGGCGTTTCGTCCTATTTGGGACTTACCAGCTGGACCTACCTACACTCCAGTGATGTTGTCCCCACTAAGACGCGAACCTCGTACCCACCACTTACAAACGCCAAGGTGTTACCCACTATGCCGCGGAGGAATGATAGCCTTCCCTTGTACAACGCGTAGTAGTTATTACTACCTATTGACATACTGGTTTTGTTGGATCGAATTGTTCAACTTTCATATATTCATGCAAAAAAATATCACCAACAGTTTATCAAAAAGTTGAATACTTACGGGTTAAAACTTGGTTCACCAATATTACACGTAAACGATTCATTGTTCACTGAATTTTGAAATATCCATTTAAATATAAATATGATCATTTTGGAAGATATATCACTTCCATTATAAACCATCAGTACCTTCAATAATCATCATTATTATTATCCTTGTGAAAATGGATTCACAACTGTATTTCATCTCGATGTGGTAAGATATTTTTGGAAATTATATTAGAACAACATAAGAATATTTCATCACTCTATCCAATGAACAGTCTACACCAATGAAAAATGATGTTTAAGTACTTAAGTACTTTCTCGTCTTCTGATTGGTCGACTACAGTTTTGACCTTGGATTGGTTAATTCATCTTGTGAGAGATTGGTTAATTTCTTGAAAATGTCTCATATTCATATCTATGGGCAATAACGTTAAGTAACCACAATTTTTTACACTAAACTTCTTAATATATCAGATTGTATGAGAATGGAAGGTAGGCGTCATAGAATGAAAATATACAGAAATTTCAATATTCAGACTACTCAACTGATTAACTGTTGTTTGAGAAGCGAGATTTCATCTGACAACAAGTTTTTAGGAGAATGGACATGTGACTATCTTAGTTTTTAAAAAAATTAGCTATTGGGTTTTAAATTTTTTTCGCCATATATTTTACTGATATGTTTATTTTAGTAGCGCTGGAAAATTGAAATATTTCTTTGTTTTTCTTTTGTAGAAATCATTATTGATACTTTAAACTTTGCGCTACGCCAAGGTCATTGTCATCCGAAAATGCTGTACTACAATTTACTTCGACTGGACTTGAGGAGAATCAGTATTATTTATCAATGAGGTGAATTCTTGATTGGTAGGATGGTACTTTTTTTAACGTTAGAATGTATAAATATCACAATTCATACATGAACATCTGTGGTAAGAGATGTGGTAAAGGGATAGTAATTGCTAGGGTGACCTTGAAAGTCAATCGTGCATACATCGTAACCTAATTCATGAAGAACGAAATTCGTGATTTTATCCACAGAAAATAGATTTAAGCAAATTAATTACTTTTCTGTAATAGGTAGTTATTTCAAAAGAATGAACTGTAATTAGGAGGTTTGTAATAGTAAACTGCCAAAATAGAAATCAACACTTGAAGTTATCAACGAATAAGGCAGAAGTATCTGATTTCAGTTTTTGTTTCATATCAATGTATGATTGGAAAAAAACCTTATTGGTCAATTTCGTTCTATAGCTGACCAATCAGAATAAGCTGTTTAACTTTTGACCTTGTGGCTTTCAATGTTCACAAAAACTGTATATAGATGGTGTGTTTCATTGTACAAAATGACAAAATTACAGAATGTCAACTGTAGCACATCTGCTTCGCATGTGATGCAACACATTACGTGCACTTTAATGGTGAGTAACTACAAGTCAGGAGTTAGTTTGTTATTTCTCCCATTTTTGACCAATATTAGCAAAGAGCTACCCCTACCCCCTACTACTGACCAGTTGAATTCGATCAGCACTTAGGACTAGATAATATGGAGCTTGTTAGCCCTCAGTTACTAACCAGCTTACCTCACCCACTCGTACAGGAGGTCAGTCGCTGCCTGAATAGAAAAGTGGTAATGTGTCTGGCTTAACTATTAGGTGACGCAGGTTCGACATCAGTTTTCACGCGGTTGCAGACGTGCCTTGCCGACAAGTGGTAATTTAATGGAAGCTGACGAAACCATTGCCACAATGAGGTATTTCTTTCAACGTCATTTTTTATCCCTGTATATATAAATTACTTTACGAACTAAGAAAAATATACTAGTGAACAGAAAAAGCACCATGAAAGCAGTAATGTTGATCTGACTGACTGACAAAATCAATGTAGAAACTCGCACACAGGTGTATCGGCTCAGGTTGTTACACCTCACAGTAGTACACAAAGAACAGGTCGATGAAAAAGACTGATGTCAATGTAGACATAATTGTGCTAGCGAATAAGCAATTTGAAGATGAAGGTTAGTGTGAATATTCCAGCTTTAGAAGATGTCACAAGAAGTGAATACATCTCCGCCACTGTCACCGACTTTCAACCATGTCACCGACAGTCCTCAACTATCGATCCCTTTTGTCTCAAGGACTCCAACTAAGCAGTCCACGTCTCCCCACGTGGCTCACTCCCACTCCCACCATGACTTGATCTGGCCACCCTGAACCTTATTCCAACCTAATCCAACTTCCCTAGCATGGCGCGTTGAGGTAGGAGGTGGCTCTGTATGCACAGCACATGTTTAAGCCATATCAATCAATGGAGGTTCACAACCTCATCAATCGGCTTTTCCATCTTCCCTAGTACCCTTCGCCTGAACTCACACGGAGATTCCATCAAACGTAAGCAATGCTACCTGTGATCAAAACCCTGAAACGGTTTCATGTCGTCTACTTTTAACAGTCAAGTCTCGCCGACGCCACAGGTGACGTAGTTTATTAAATCCCAAACGAGTCTTCTGTATCCGAGCTGAGATTTCGTCAGCAAGAAAATCGTTTAAGCTGATGTAATTCCTTAAGTAAGTGGGTGGTCAGCATGTTCTACTACTTCTCTCCCTATCACTAAGTTGGAAGTCGCTGCAGACCAGTCCTGCAGTATCATTTTACATTTGAAAGGTGCAAAACACAAGCCAAACATTCTCAGGTTTCTGCTTAACTCATTTAGAAGAACCTGCATCTTTCCAGCGTGTTCACCTAGCAAGACAATACTGTTTACACACTCCAAGTCAACCAGATACCCCTTAGCGAGTAGATCATTCCCTGTGAAGACCGACTTACATAGGAATGGGTCCTCTAGTACTTCTGTGATGAAGTTAAATGAAAACGTGACAGTGGATATCCCTGCCAGACACCACTAGTTGTCGTAAACTTACTTGATAACTCTCCATGGGCCTTGACATGGCTGCGTGGGTTCGAGTAGAGAGCACTCATTGGTGTTCCATACTTTCTCAATACTCCCTTCACGGCTTGACATCACCAAAACACCTTGACAGAGTCGAATACCACCTTTGAGTAGAGAGATATGGAAACTGTCGGCCATTGGTAGGTACGTCTGTGTTCTAGAACCTATTGGAGGCCGGAAATATGATCGATGCACCTCGATCAGGTGTTAAACCTGCCTGAGTTTCTCGGGTTGGCTGTTCTCAACTTCCACTTAGGCGTTATATAACTATAGAGCTTAGGATCTTGGACGTAATATTAGTCAAACTAATTCATAAGAAGGTTTTTCCGCCTTCTTCTTATAGGCCTAGATGATCAGTAAACTAGACCATTCTGACGGGACTACTTCTGATTCCTACACACCACCTAGTACCTTTTTCAGTTAAACCAGATACTTCCTACCTCGATTACTGAAAACTTTGAGTGGTAAAGTATCAGATCCTGTTACTATTTTGTATCGTTTCAGGTTCGGTACAGCTTTCTCAACTTCAAGAAGAGTTGGAGAACCAACATCTACTTTCCTGATCCAAGCGATCTGAACAATAAATTGATCAGACGAAGTGGATTTCATTAACTAATTTCAACTGACCGATATACCTTAAATAAGATGACCAGTTCGGAAATTATTTACAAATCACACTGTCTCCACTGATATTTCTTAAATCTAAGGAGTTTTTCAACTGTCTAGCCGGGATGTCAAGAAAGTTTTCATTGAAAATTCAAGTGTAATTCGCTAACTCAAAAGTGTCATGAACTAACAAAATGTACTAGTGAGTAGCATGAATGGTTTCCCATCGGGGACCCAATCGACATCACAGTTAATAAACTACTCAACTGTGTAAAATGTCAACCTGCTGCATGTAATTTGTATATAATTTACACATTAATCAGCCATCTTATATATATCGCTCTTTGGATAGTCTAAACTTCATGAATGGGTTACTTCTACAATGGGAATTTCTAAATTTTGAGTAGGATACCATATGCTGTGAGATTATCATCCATCCATGTGAGTAATAGATGACGGCAGTCACCATGTTTATGCCAAAAATTCAGAATATTGTGAGTTAGAGTTCATCAGAGATGTACATTAAGTTGGAATTAATTCTTGCCAGCAGTTGCTAGCAAGGCAGCGAAAACTGGACTTCAAGTGAATGGAGAGAAGACAGAGGTGATGAAGATACCCAACCAACAACAACAAGAAGGGGCACCAATCATCGTGAATGGGAGAAATGTAAATGAAGTTGTCTCTTTCACCCACCTATCTACTTAGGCAGGCAGCGTCGTTCCAATGACATTCGGCGGCACAGGCACACTTGAGGATGTGAAAACTAGGATAGGAAAGGCAGCAAGACAAGTGTTCATCAATCTGAAATCAGTGTGAAGATCTACTGCACTCAGTAAAAAGCGTCAACAACATCCGGATTTTCAACACCAATGCCAGTCAAGTCAGTGATTCTATGTGATGGTTGAAAAACTTGGCGCGTCACGAAAAACACTTCCAATAAACTACAGATATACATCATTAACAGCTGCCGCCTACACTCACTCGATATTGAAGATCAGATGACCAGAAAGAACAAGCAATAAAGAACTCTGGGAAAGAACAAACTAACAAGGTATTGCCCAACAAATATGCAGTAGAAGGAAATGGAAATAGATTGGACATACACTGAGAAGACCATTCAGGGACATCACGCTCCAGCCCAGTCCCTCGAGTGGAATCCAAAGGGGGAACGACGAGTTGGGCGTCCCAGCTGAGAGTGACATGGAAGAGATCGTGCGAGGAGGAAATGAAAGGTTGTGGGCAGTGGTGGAGCCAGGTTGAAAAGACTGCAGAGAAAGAGTGTAATTGAGACATGCTACTGAGGCCTTATGTTCCACTAGGAACCCAAGGGGAAAAAAATACTAATAAGTAGTTACTGGTGACAGTTTTCACTCGACAATGTTTGGATGAAAGAATTCAGTATTCTTGAACAGAAATATACTTCGCATTTTTGAAGTGTCATCAACTATGAGTTGATGTAAACTGATTTCAAGATTAAATGACTGAACTTAAAAAAAAATTG